CCGCACCTCTAATTACTCTGCGTGGGTTCGCTGGTTCGAATCCCATGTAGGGATGGTTATGTGCGAGAGAATTGCTGGACTCCTCGCCGTCGTTGGGTGGTTCACGTAACCGCTGATCGGTTACGGCTTCCTCCACCACCAAGTCCATGCTTCCGAAAACAAACAATACAGTAAAAACTAATCCCATACCCGACTTGGAATGGTAACCGGACGAGAGGCCGTGGTTCGCCATATGGATAAGCCGTCTTATCGGCTTTCCTCTCCCCCGGGATAAATATGTAAATCCTATCCTAATAGTAATTTTTGTTTGTGAATTTCGAGAGCACGAAATGTAATATTGTTAGTAAATTTGAAACAGGAATCACTAATTCCGCGATTTGTTATTATCCTCTTTATGTCTTCTATATCATAGCCTACTTGTTTCCATAATCTTTTTCATTTACCTAAACAAAGTACAGTTTTAATAATAGTTATTAATGTCAATTTCCATCGGAAATCCAAGTTTTTGCTCGTGGTTATTTACCGTCCTCTAGTGTTTACGCATATTTTGCGAGTTCTCAGGTCTTCTGTTGGTGCGAAAAGTTACTTTGGCCCACAATTTTATTTTCGTGTTTCAGAGGCTTTCGTTCAGTTCAGATATTTTTGTAATGCGAAGTCTTGTTCAAAACTTTGCTTCAGATTAGCTAAAAAAGGGTAAGAGGTTATCGGGAATACAATAAGGAAATGTGGACACAGTGGCATTTGTTGTAGGGCAGGGTTGTCAAACTCGTGAGTCTTCGTGGGCCGCATTGTGTTTTGGGAATTGCGCATAGGGCCACAAACAGTTTTTCATTTATTTTGATAGTGCATACTTTGAGCATATAGGTTTAGTTTGTGACCAATAGTGCGATGCAATTGAACAGCTGAGTAAAGTTTTGTTATTTTCTTAAATTTCGAATGCCATTTACATACCGGTACCGGTATCAATTTTTGCATTTCACTATTATTTCAGTATTGCAATTTACTTTATTTATTACAAAAAATCATAAATTTTTATGTACAACTATCCAAAACATTTTTGAATAAAGTTTTGATAAGGAAAGAATAATACATACACTAAAATGACCTAATCTAAATATTTAGACCTAAAATTTACAAAAATACTACAGAATAAACTCAATGTTTTACATATGTCCTGACGTTTGGCATCTCTTTTGTGCCATTAACTTACTAATATCAGGCTGAAATGATTTTACAGTACCAACTCGAGTTCACATGATCATCGGGTAGACTAATCTGTATCCTTGAGAATGTTTGATTAATTTGAGTAATGCAAAAATATTACGTTCATCATTCAATGTATAGATCAGTAAACAAACAAATGACTGACTTTTCGGACCAGATATTTATCGCCACATTTCCTACTATTACATGGCATAGGAACACTTGAGTTATGATTGATATTGAGTTTTAGTATCTAGGTAGTTGTATAATTATATATAAACACATAAAAATTTTCTGTTCGAAGTTGATTATTAAATTTGTCCTATTGACTGCTGAGCTTATTCTGATAATGGTTACTTATATAATATTCATTCATTATATGGAAATGTGACAAATTAAACAATGTGCTTTAGAATTTTGAGAAATACAGAAATATTGCAACCCCCATTATTTTTCTTCAAAAATGCCACCTTCTTCATGTACTTTGCGTTTCATTTAAGTTTTTTTTTTTTCAAGTATTCTTTTGTTAGCTTTAGGTGTAATTATGATTGGGGCAAATTGAAAACAAAAAATCTTTAAATTTCCCAAAACTACTTTCAGTAAATTGTCATTTTCTGTTTGAATAATCAATTTCACTCTGAGAAGTTTTAAAAATGAATTACATTCAGATAAAAACTTACAAAATTTTACAATTTTTGTTAAGCGTTCGAGAGCCGCATTGAAAGTTCTCTGGGGTAGCATGCGGCCCGCGGGCCGCAAGTTTGACACCCCTGCTCTAGCCCACAATTTTGGTACCCTAGCCCAGGGCTACTCAACTGGCGGACCGCGGTCCGAATCCGGACCTTTCGGGTATTCGATTCGGATCGCGACTAATTCTTTATTTTGGTTCATTAGCCCCACTTTCGAAGTTTACTTTTATAAAATCACTTTCATAGGTTTTAATATATATATGAAAAGAACTCTAACGCCATAATAAACAATCTTATATAGCTAATAATCATTAGTCTGTCGAGGAAGTGCGTGTTTGAATATGATTTCTGGAAAGTCCGGACCCAAATATTTTTGAAGTTTTGTATGCGGATCTTCGGATAAAAATAGTTGAGTAGCCCTGCCTTAGCCCACAATTTCGGTTACCCTAGCCCAAATTCTGGTTATGCCAACCGACATTTCTGTTTAGCGGTCGCCACATTTGATTGTGGGGATTGGTTTGGATGTAAAAGAACATGTTATTAGTCCCGTAGCTAAATTTCTTAGGTTCCCTTGCTTAAAATCCGGTAATCACTGTAAATATATGCATGATTAACCCTCTGATCACCATGCGATTGTGGGCTGGCAAATTGTGGGCTAGAGTAACCCGTATTTAGGTCTACCTACCATTGAATAATAGTGCTGTAGTCCAGTGGTTCCCAAACTTTTTGTACCATCGCCCCCCTACACTAGTTTATACAACTTCATCGCCCCACGTCCTCCAGTCCGATCACCAGAGTCCATAGCATTATTCAGCCATTTGTTTTGGATTCGTGGACTCGGATGGCTCAGGGGTCGGCAAATTTTACGTCGCTCGCGGGACAAAGTTATGATTTCTAGTCTTTTGCGGATTGTATATATTTTTTGAAAGTTAAAAACGGAACATCGTGCAAAAACTCCGACAATTCGTGAACTCAACTCAGTCGTCTTATTAAAAAATTATTACAATAACATTTAATGTGACACATGTAGCCTACTTTCAAACATCGAAGTGAATATTTTTGCATGGTTTGTGAAATTTTGATAAAGATTTTCTTTGAGAAGATACATTCTTACGAAAATTAAGCAGTGATAAATCTCTCGAATAGAATATGAATTTGATTTCCTTATTGCATTGCAATATATCCGAATACTCCTCGAGCGTAGATGATGAATAAAATTAATTCATCGTTAAAACTGCCGTTCGGATATTTCCCCTAGCAAAGACTTCCTTCTTTACTTGGCCAATCAGCAAGATGCAAATATAAATGTAACAATGCCCCCTTTCGCATTCGCTCAGACACATTCCTCACTCAAACAGACTTTTAGGCGTAGTCGTGAACATTACCACATTTTCGCGATTTTGAATTATATTCGTTAGTTTTTAGTTGGTTTTCAGAAATTTAAATAAAATAAGTCAATGAACACTTTGTCCTCCTAGGAGTTTCAGTTTAATTACAGTAATCAAAAATTAGTGTAGAAATAGCTGTGAAAAACTGGGCAAAAATTCTTTACCGGTACTTTTAAAAAACAGATTGTTGAATGGTATGAATTAGAATGATAGTTTGAAACAAATACTTCATTTTATAGGCAACAACTCGCGAAACCACTCTTAAAATAAACACCGAAATTTCAGCGAGTCCAGCAATCCTTTCGCGTCTGATATTCGCCCACATGATTCAAACGTACGAAAGCACGCAGAGTACAGTAATCAAGTGCACCATGCGCCGACTAAAAACAGGTTTCGCGAAATCGCCCCCCTAACGCCCCCTTCAACTTTTTCGCCCCCCTCTGTATCGTTTTCGCCCACCTTGGGGCGATATCGCCCACTTTGGGAATCACTGCTGTAGTCCATTGCAGTATTACAAAGATTTAGTCCATATGAGTAAAAGTGTAAGTTTAATTGATTTTATGAGAAGTAATAGAATAAATATGTACCGTTATAACGGCTCAGCACCATACGATGGTCGATGGCGATGTGCTCGTTAGGGTGATTTGAATAAATAGATCGTACAGGCACTTTATTTTTGATGACGCGGTTCTGTTTGAGTTCCTTTCAAAGTTCAAAATGATTGTCCAAAGATGTTTATTGTCAGATTGTTGAGTCAAAAGTTGGTGAAATAGTAGTCAAATAATGGTGAAATAGTTGTCAAACAGTAATCTGGTAAAATACAGTGCTATTACGCAGAAGGGACCATTAATAACTATACTAAACAGGAAAATAGACTTATATTGTGTAAATTTAAACTACGCCTAATTAATAATACCGAAATCCCCTCGATTGAGTAAGATACAAATTGATACGTCCTACCTCCAAGCGGCTCACGCCGAAAGAGATCCCACCAATGCCAAAATGGTCAGGGTTCAATGCCCTAAGTTACTGTTGCCAGTTTAGTTACAATAAGAGCGGTCACTGTTTAGAATCATGGCCGCTACAACCGTACCGGTACCCGTAGTGTATGACAGTATGATGTCAAAATGCTGAAATGGGCAAACATTCTGACATTATCAAATCTCATTGGGAAATGATAATTATTCGTAATTCAAATCTTGTAACCTGCAATAGTATTCACAATTGTATATTGTATTCCTTATAAAATTTTGGCAAATTAGATTCAATTATATGTTACTATGGAAGATTTTGCCCTTGAAAACAAAACCAGAGATGAAAAGAGTAGCAGGGATGAAATATTTTTATTATGCAATAGAGAACCTGAGTTTGTGTCACATATTTTCATGTCTTGTGAATTCACAACAGGGGTGATATTTGAGTCCAGTGCATCTTTTTGAAATGAAGTACCTGTACCAAACAATCGAAACACATTTTGTTACGAATCATCACAAAAATGTCAATTATATCAAAATTTCTACATTTCAGGCCATTTTGCAGTTTTGTGTAAACGATCAAAAACCTGGGTGAAATTTTAACGTTTTCAATGAAATGAATGCAGTCCGATAAAATTCAAGTGTCTTTTGATATCGAAAATACAAAACAATTACTTTTACTGCACTTTTTGAAAAATCCATGAAATTCAACATTTGCTTGAAATGGCCCACAAAAAGACTTCGTTAGTTGTTACTTATTCAATTTTGTGTATACAGGTATAGCAGTATATTGTGTTATAAACCGGTAGTGTGCATGATACAGTGATAATACGCTAATATGGCAGTTGCAATGACAGCCTCTGATGAGAAGGGTATTAACAAGGACATGGTACAGGATTTCAAAGTCTCAAAGGAAAATGAATTGCGATTTGAAGTTGAAGCAAAAGAAAGAGTTAAGCTTGAGCTTATGGATGGAATTGCTGAAATCTTTGGTACTGAACTTGTAAGAACCAGGTCATATATATTTGAATCATCGTCCAAAATTGCTGTTTTCACCTGGTTCGGATGTTCTATAAGATTGACAGGCAAACTTGAAGCTGCATATGTTTCAAAAGAGACTCCGATGACGATTTATCTTAACACCCATGCAGCTGTTGAGTTAATGAGACGGAAATCTCAAGCTGAAGAATTGAGAGGGCCGCGAGTGTTGGTTGTTGGCCCTCAAGATGTGGGCAAGAGCACATTCTGTAAACTGTTATTAAATTATGCCACACGCATGGGAAGAAAACCAACTTTAATCGATTTGGATGTAGGTCAGGGTGGAATATCTATCCCAGGCACCATAGCTGCTCTTACGGTTGAAAGACCATCTGACCCTGTTGATGGTTTTGATACCAAGGTACCACTTGTTTATCATTTCGGACACACATCACCAAATGGGAATTTAAAACTCTATGAAGTGTTGATTTCAAGAATTGCAGATGTGTTTAATGCAAAAAGCGAATGTAATTTAAATGTAAGAGCAAGTGGATGTGTAATTAACTCGTGTGGATGGATCAAAGGACAAGGCTATAACTGTATATTGCATGCGGCTCAGTCTTTTGAGGCTGATGTTGTATTAGTTCTTGATAATGAAAGACTTCACAATGATCTTAAGCGAGACTTACCAGAATTCGTTAATATAGTTCTTTTGCCAAAATCTCCTGGTGTTGTAGAACGATCTCGCGAATTGCGTAGAGATCACAGGGAAGAACGAATCAAAGAATATTTTTATGGACCCAATAAAATATATTTCCCTCATGCGTTTGATGTGAAATTCTCTGAAATCTCAATTTTCAAAATTGGTGCTCCTGCTTTGCCAGACTCTTGTTTGCCATTGGGAATGGAGGAAGACGATACACAAACCAAACTTGTACCAGTGAGACCACAAAGAGATTTAGTTCATCACATATTGAGTCTAAGCATGGCTGAATCCTTGGAGGAAAATCTTGTTGAAACAAATGTTGCCGGTTTTGTTGTTGTAACTGGTGTTGATCCAGAGACTGAGACACTGAGTGTGTTAGCTCCAGCTCCATATCCTTTACCGCGAAGACATTTTCTTATCATGGATATTAGATTTATTGATATAAACAAGTAACATTCTAAATTTAACAAATCTAAAACACCTTGGCTAGTTGTGTTCTGGCCTCATTGGTTTCCCATGCTCATGACTTCTAGGCAATTTTCCAACCAAGCCAAACATATTCTAGTTGGGAAAGGTGTTGGAATTTTAGTTGGATAACTACCAGAATGTGAGTGAAGATTACTCATCTATGTCTATTCTCTGAACTCAAGTTCATGCTACCGAAAACAAATAACTAACTAAATCCCATACCCTACATGGAATGGTAACCGGACGAGAGGCCGTGGTTCGCTATATGGTTAAGCCATCTTATTGACTTTCCTCTCCTCCGGGATAAAATAGGTAAATCCTAACCGAACCATAAACAAGAGGCCTTTGTTTGCCACATGATTGAGCTTCCCCATTGACGTGTGGATTCCTGTGGAATATATATGAAAGTCCCATCCAATATAGACTACTTCTACTGGTAGTTGACATCATATGTAATGACATTATATACGACAACGCCTAAATTGAATAAAAGAATACACTCGGTCATTTGCAATATTATGAACTTCCCTGCATTCTGCAAATAAACTTGGCGTCATACTCAGTAAACTGGGGTTTTTATAAACATGTTGGAATCATTGGTGCTGTAGCAAACAATACAGGTTTCACAAATGTTTTTATTGCCCATTGAATTGCAGTAATAAATAATGACCTCTGGATTTCATCATCATGATGAAACACATTTAAATAGACTTGATGTATCTGGGAAAAATATTCTAGAACCTTGTTTTTCTTTAGGTTGTAACTCTGTGAAGGTTACATTTGTTTCATTTTCTATTCACATGGTTTTGTTGATAGCTGTTTCTTCACGTGGCCTTTGTGTGACTTTTTAATGTCTTCCTTGAGAGCCGAATTATTGTGATACTGAATTTTTCATCCATTTTTCAAGATAAGATTCTATTTCTATGACAATGAAAGCCTTTTCAGAAAGTTTTAATTGAATGTATGTGGTAATTGATTTGACTGAGAGTTTCAGTTTATTAGTGAAGCCTGTTTTCATTAATGTTGTTAAGTGACTGCTTTGATCGAATTTTGCAGTTGTATCAAAAGGTTTCAATACAGGTTATTATTGATGTTGTTATCAATCGCTCAATTCATAAAATATTTTAAAAACTTTTGAATATTTTTTATCATATGACTTGTCAAGTTTTTGAATATGGGTATTGTAACAACAGTAGTATAGGACCATTACTTTGGTGTTTGTGAATGTTCAAAACAAGTATTTCTATCTTCACAATGCTTTGTTGTTTTATTTGTTTACAGATTTAATAAAAAGTAATATTAAATTAGCCCTGTCTCTAAAATGTATAAAGAATCTGGTCCATCTAACTTTGCAATAAATGTCTTCAGTATGCAAGGACATAAAGTACTAGTTGATGCTCAAACAGACATGTCCATCGAATCTGTGAAAAATGAAGCTGTCAAAAAACTTTCAAATATGCGGGGCAGTGGATTTGATAACACTGCAGAATACACACTAGTATGTGCAGTGGGACAATGTAGACGTTTGTTTAACAAAAACACCATAAAATCTGAGAATTTGACTGCCGCTGATATTCTTCTGTTATACAATGTTCAAGAACAAAGTAGTAAAGATCCAGGAGTCCCAACCAGATCTATTCCAACAATGCCAGGAATAAAGAAGGCAACAGAAGGTTTAGTAGCTCGAGGTAAATCAGTCGGCGAAGCTGCGTCATCTGCTAATTCTGCTACAGGCACACTTGAGCAAACTTTTCGTAAGATATTGCTCACTTTGCTTGACCTTTCTTACAAACTGATGTTTTTTGATGAAGAAGCTGATGGATTGTTTTGTTCTAAAAGTAAAACATTGAATCTGGTGGATCCTAGTCTCATTTCTTCACTGACTGCGATGGGATTTTCTGAAGCAATGGCCTGCAAAGCTTTAAGAGTGAATCAAATGGATATGGAAGCTGCCATGGATTGGCTGTTACACAATCCTGAAAGTAGAGAGGAAAGTGCGATGGACACCGATACGGAAACGGATGAAAATGAAACCGAGGATAAGGATGATGATAAACATTCCGCAAAACGAGTGAAAAGACGCCTTGATGCTTGGCGTAAGAAAAATCAGCGTTTACAGCCAAGCAATGAACATATAACAATACTTGTAGGCATGGGGTTTACCAAGGAAGACAGTACTCAGGCGCTTAAACTTAATGGAAATAATCCAAGTGCTGCATGTGACTGGCTTTTAGGGGATAGGAAGGTTCCAGATGATGACCCAAATGATGGCTTAGCTCCTGACAGTGAACTGTATAAAGCAATTGTCAGTAATCCAACAATACATATAGGGTTACACAATAAAAGAGTTTTGGAAGCCTTAGAAGACATGCTCGAAAATCCCTTGAGGAGACACAATTGGGCAAATGATTCGACTGTAGGTTCTGTAATTCTACAAATATTAAAGCTTTATCATAAATATTCCAATTCTGGTTAGCATATATTATGACATGAACTTCTCTTGAATATTTTGCTGATATTGAAAATGTCCGAATTTGCTCTTAGGTATATTTCTGTATTGACGCTGAGAAAATATAAAATTTTGTTTTATTAATAAATTTAAATGATATACCACACAATGCTTCAAATTTAGCTCCCTGTTTAATGGCTTTGGAGTGTATTAGCCAATTATTTTTGTATATCCTTCCCTTGCCATTAGTCATATTTTTGAACTGAGATTATACCTTAGAGTTGTTTTATAACTGATTTTTATACCATAGAGAGGAAATCCGATTACGTTGTCAGTGTCAAACCAAATGGCAAGCCCACGACCTCTCTTCCGATTACCGGTTCATGTTGTGTATGGGGGAACAGTATTCATTCGTTTCAGACTTATACTTGCGGTGTCAAGCGTGTTTCTAATGCTCAGCACGATGCGTCATACCGCTGAGCATTTTGCTCGGACCACAGGTAAGTAATATTAAAATACTTTGTGTTCTCTTCATATTGTTAGGTCATAGTCTTAAGGAAATCACACACTATCATTCTGTAGCTTCTTACATTCTAGTGTGGCCGTTATTTAATGGTTTTCCATGGCCTTGCGCGATTTTGGGGCTGCATGCAACCTTGATCGAAGCGACTTCTAATAATAAAAAGTTGGAGTGCGGAAGAGACTTGTGTATAATTCTTTTCTAATTTTCAATCTGCCTCTCTGCCGTTGTTAAGTACCCCCCAAAATAAACTTCAGACACCCGTGCTTATTTTTGGCTCTAGGTCGATGGCAACCCTGCCTATAATCGATCGAGTCCATTCACTAAATCAGTCGATAAAACTTGAAGGTGGTGCGTCTCTGTCCCATTGTATAAGTTTCACGTTATGAGATAACGAGAGTCTGTTACCACTAGGGATGGGACGAGTCCGCCATTACAGAGATTCGACGAATCCGAGTAATAGGTCGAGGACTCGAATCGAATCTGCCGAGTTCGTGACGTCATAATGGAAAAGCAGAAAAACGTGTTTTTGACCATGCTACAGCATCGTGCTCTCACAAACATACGTCGTAGCTCATATTTTTTGCCTAATGGTCCCGCATATAGCTGTTGAATCATTTTAAATATATATTTTTTCTCTTTTCTGGCGGCCATAATACAAACGTAAACGTGGGTCAATGTGCGCCTTGGCTGTGAACTGGATTTCCAGCCCACCTTGCGTCAATTCTGGGCGGCTATTCAGAAATTCTTACATGTCAATATGAAAAATAAAAAGCTTTCGACTACAATGCTTTCCCATAATTCCAGATATTTCTAGCCGTAAATTTACTATGTCGCGTGCGCAATTGGTAGAGAAATGCCACTCGTTGTCAATACAATGTGATCTGCTTGCAATTTAGTAGTTCATATAAACGTTCTGAAACTCTCCATGATTTCCATTGCCTTTTTAGCGAAAGGATTGCACGCAATAAACTTGATTTAATTAAAAGAGGTATTGATGAGATTCCACAGTGGGTTGATCCAGGGCATGTTTTATTTTTACGCGAATCAAAAATATTGCAATAACACATATTTTATTGTGTACCACATGCATACCAAAGAGGTTAGATACTCGTAGTTTGAAGGCGACTGGCGCAACATCATTGTTATAAGCGACCAATAGTTTTTAACTTGCGTTATATTATCCGGATATCTGTCGTCGTTTTATTAGGAGTGTTTATAATGCACACGAGGGATATTGTTACAGATCCAACCTTGAATTTTAACTAGTTAAGGTATGTAGTGGGATTTATAGAGGCAAAAGAACAAACATAGGCGTAAATTAGTAAAAACAGAATTGATTATAGACTCTGTAAAAATGACGTGGTCTCGAAATCGAATCCGAGTCTAAAAATGCCTGGATTCGACTCGAATCCGAGTCCGGATCCGAATCCCGGCCCACCCCTAGTTACCAACCAGTTTGTGTGATAAAAATGAGAAAACAAGTGCTTCGGGTATGGTTTCACTAAAGATTCCAGTAAATGATAAGGTAATTTCAATGCGAATATACGGTGCACAAACAATTAGGATGGAATCGTAATTGGCGGTTACAGACAGGTTAAGCGCGTTGAAACTCGTGTCACTGAATTTCAATGTTGATCTCGTTGATGATTACTCCCTTATATTATAACAGTGTTTCTCAACCTGGGTCTAATGAACCCCCGGGGTTCGACAAAAGCACTGTGAACTTTTGTATTATGAAGTATTTCTATTTTCGAGCCAATTAAATATGTAAAAATAACTAATATTTAAGGCAGATATTCAAATTTCAACATTCAGACAATTCATATAATAGCTTATTTATGTGTAGTATTGCGTAGATAAATGTTTTATAGGACCTGTCAATGAGAAACGTCACGCGTTTTTTTAGATGCTTTCTGACCTCAAAGTGTCTAAGGTTGTTATTACTAACCTCGGGGTTTTGAACCTGAATATTTGCGTAAACGCCATGTTATTTATAACCTACTAATAAAACTAGGGGACCTTGAATATTGTGTATTGAACTGCAGGTCCTTTCTCCTTGTTTACTTTCTACTTCGGATCCGTATGTGGTATTTGCCACAGGGATGCTTGAACGAGATAGTATCAAAGTGATAAGTGAAAATAACATGATCTCTTTCAACGAAATAGTAAGTTTATTTGTGAGCTTTCGTCAGATCGTGGTCTAACTTCTTCAAACATTACAAGATATGACTTAATCAAACAGCAATAATGATGACAGCAATTATTGTAGTTTGATTAAGTCATGGACCTTTGACCCCCTCGGGGCTATTTTAAGAGTGCTTTTGCGAGTTGGCGCCTGTAAAACGGGGTATGTGTTTCAAACCATCATTATGATTCATCGCACACAACAATCTGTTTTTTAAAAGTACCGATAAAGAATTTTAGCCTAGTCTATCACAGCTATTTCTACACTAATTTTTTATTACTGCAATTCAATTTAAATTCATAGGAAGACAGAGTGATGATTGACTTATCTGAAGTTTCCGAAACACAACAGAAAACTAACGAATAGAGTTTAAAAACGCGAAAACGAGGTAATGTTTACGACCACGCTTGAAAATCTGTCTGAGTGAGAAAAGTGTCTAAGCGGATGCGAAAAGGGAGCATTGTTACGTCATTTTTTGCATCTTGCTGATTGGCCAATGTCACGAACTAAACAAGAAAGTCGATGCTCGGGAAAAGGGGGATATCTTGTATCGTTTGGAGAAGCTAGATCATGATTTACGGAAAGCTCACAAATAAACTTACTATTTCTTACTATAAGTTATTAAGTGTACAAAAATGAATGGGAAATTAGGGCACGTTTGAATTTCACTAAACGGTAGAATTTCCAGAACCGAATATTTCAGGGCGGAGCTCCAAGTAAAAATATCATCGCCCGTCGACGACCTTAATGTAGCGCTTAGCCGGTTTTACATATCGTATCTCTGTTTCTGTGAAACAATGAGCAAATGCTTTTATAACCATCTGACGACAGGTATAAATCTGTGATGTGTAATATCTGAATCATATGCTACATAAAAATGCGATATCTTTTTTTTAATAAGGTGAACAATGCAATTTGCAACCACTGAAAATTGCAATGCAATTGATTAAATAGTTGAAGAGAAAAACCAATTTTTATTACAATGACATACTGACAGAAGAGTAACTACAACTCCATAATAACAAAACGTTCCATAGGTCCATTTCGTGTCCGATGAACTCTTACATCAAAACCCATTCCATGATCATTACAATCGGAAAATAAAATACGACTGACCGAAGCGTTATATATATATATATATATAGGCAGTGGTGGGATTCAAATTTTTTGTCAGCCGGTTCCATCATAAAAGACATGTTTTTCAACCGGTTCTGTTACAAAAAGTCATATTTTTTTAGCAAATAAACTGAATATTTTTAATTACTTCCCAATTAACATTTTAAAATAATAGTTAAGTAGGCATCCTTCTGTCAAAATTAGCATAGAAAGTTTTGATGATGTTGAGGATCGTTAATGTTGCTGTATATATTATATACTCGTTGATAATGAACTTAAAACCTGAAGGTGTATGATCTACTGAAAACACATGCTTGAATGTTGATATTCTATAACAATGCTGTTATACTATATTAAAAATAAACACAAGAAATCTTTATCAAAGAAAAAAAAAGTTCACTGAAAATAAACTTTCGCAGTTTTTACATCAACTATTTCCAACCGGTTCGCTGATCTTGCAAAATTCCGTGAAACGGTTCTATAGAACCGGTGCGAACCGGCTGAATCCCACCACTGTACCGGTATATAGGCTATTGTGTTTTCACGCCTGTCCCTCAAACAAACCCTGCAAAGTAGCGACTGAGCTAGAAAGTGCCATTGTTTGAAAGGACTTGATTCTATCTATAATCCTACAAACCACAATGCTTACCACTGATTTTCATGTCAGGATTTACTTAAAAGTAAAGCTTCTTATATTTTTAATTAAAGTATGGCTTATATGGCATTATACAGAATAAATCCGAGAACTTCTGTGAAGCGAGCGATGTATTTGTGTCGTCTTTATTGTTATTATTTTCCGTATATATCAGCAATAAAAATAAGTTACCGATTAGCTCCTAATTGTAACGTAACTTCTAAAATTAGAAAATTTACCAAAATACGCTTGTTATTTGCACCAACCCTAAAAAAAAAGGTCAGGTGTAAAATACGAAAGGAATCGAAGAGTTTAACCAGGTAATATACAGGCAATTCTTCACCAGAATCGCATAGTTCAATAATATTTGTTTTTCAATTGACACGTTGGTTACATAAATGCTGCTATTGTAGAAGAAATGGCTACATCACCAAAATAGTTGCAATGTATATTAATACCAGGTAGCATTCTGGACTCAATGTCGCCGAAAGAAAGATTCCACTTTGGTTTATTTTGTCAACAGATGAAAAGACACCCCGACCAGTTGAACGAACACTTGTCAATGCTATTAGATTGGTAGGTCTTCATATTATAATTTGCATGTAAACGAATAATAAGTACAAAGTACAGATAAACAACTGACGCAAGTTTCATTGGATTCCGACATTGAAAAATCTATTTTTAGAAGAATAAAAAGGCACTTGTTCATGAGTTCTGATGTCGCACCTATTGACGAAAATTCTATAAATTTACCGAAAATTTACCGACAACAATTGAGGTTTTGAAACTCACCATTTGAGTAAAAATATGGTTCTCAGTGTTTGAGGAACACCGCATCCCCACATTGACGTCATACCCATTTGATTGTAATTAATGGATATTTCTATGACATGCTTCCGGAAATAATACAAGTGTTTTGTTTCAATGAATCGAACTTCGAATGTGTCAACTCCCTCAGGTCGACCGTCACAATATGGGTTGCCGTCAGGGACAAGCATTTTTGTATCTCATGTTATTCAACAATCTCCATTTAGGTATCGTTAGGTCTCAACGATATTAGATGGTAGAATACCCATTGGATTCTACTTATGTTCGAAGACGTCGCTGAGACAATTTGCTTGCAGTCAAGAACCGTTTGCTTTCCGCATCAGTCCCCAATATTATTCAACACTTTTGGAAATAATTTGAAAATATGTAGTAATTCCCTTGCATAAAATATCCTGACCCAGTTATTTTTCAGCGAGAAGATCTTGCAGCAAGCAATACTATTATATTCTTACCTTAAATATCTGAATCTCAAAGATGCAGTCTGAAAAGTCTTTGACGAGTTTATTACCCATTACGTTGAATGCCACGGTCAGTGTTGTGACGTTATTGAATGGCTTTTTAGTTTAATTTATGAACGATTCCTATAATTTGTGGTGTTTTAAGCTTTATAACATGCGCTATACATAGTAACCTTTTTGAGAAGAATTAATTCAGCAAACCTTAATCTATTTGACGGAACTGACCTCAAAGTAACGTTAAATATAACCATTTGTCTCCAACTTTAACCAACGAATGATTAAATTCTTAATAAAGATATTATGAAATCTTATTTTTTCGAAATAATCGAATGAGCAAGATATAATATAAATAGCGCTGCAAAAACTTTGGCATCAACAAACTCGTAGAAAACAACGTACAAAGCAACGAAAACAGAGACAAGAGAGAATTGTTAATTGGGTATGTTTTAATACAGGGGTCGGCAACCTACGGCCCGCGACGCTTCACTGAATTATAGTAACAAAACAGCTGTTTTGAAGATTATTTTTTTAACGTAACAGTATTTATTATGAGACACGTGCAGATTGAATTATATTATAATTTAACAAGTATAAAATCCACAATTACTCGTTTAATGAGCCTATAATTTAATGATGATAATTAGACAAATGGCACCAAAACTCAGAAAGGTTGATGCTAAGATGCAATGCAACAAGGAAATAAAATCCATATTCTATTTGAGAGATGTATCACTGCTTGATTTTTTTTTAAAAAGTATCATTCCTTCGGTTTTCAACTTTCTAAAAATATGTGAGGCACGCCAATGACTTGCAACCCGTAATTTTGTCCCGCGAGCGAAAAAATGTTGCCGACCTCATTCTTTTATAGCGAAGCAATTATCGATATTATAATCGTATACTCACTGGAATATATGCAGCGCTTTCCTTTGTTTATGACAGCAGTCGTCAAATTGACGACAGCTTTTCAATCCGAGAATCGGGCTATCCTGGTAGGTATATGACTGCTCAATTACCACTTGTCACCAATTACCACTTGGGCTACTATTCAACTATATTTGCAATATATATATATATATATCAATTTTAAACGACTGATTTTGAAACAAGTTCTAATTATAGCTAGATAGATTAAAGATGAACGTGGCAACAATCTATCTACTTCTGGCGACAATTATGTTTGGAATTGAAGCAGCTCAATTTACTCAACTTAAATGTTTTCAATTTCGCTACAAATTGGGACAGCAGCGATGCAAACCAGGTAAGATTTTTTCATTCTAACAGAAAATCCTATTTATGATGAATGATGTTTGTTTCCATTTTCCAAAAAGTACATTCACTACGGCCCAGGTACTTGTATAACTAGGATAATACTAAAAGCTGATCACACGTCCCGGTTCAGTCGGGGCAGCTTGACGAGAGTAAATGTCCAAGGTTAAGGCAGAATGACAGTCATAAATATATCCGATACTAATATATACAAAATTGTTTTCTGTTTTTTTAACGTGTGCAGCCCATTTATCACTGATCCCATTTATCACCATATTGTTATGTCATATTTATGATATTTTCAATATTTAAGTCAAATTAACATATAACGTCGGCTTTAATGCCGTTTAAAGAAAGTTCTTGTGTTCTAATGAGTTGTATATTACTAATATTCATAAGAACTAAAAAATTTCCAAGTCTTGGAATATAACCGCCCAATGTCCCGGTTTTTCATTCCGCATATCTGGTAAGCCCAATCAAAGGTAAAACACATGTGAATTTGTGTTTCACAAAAACCATTCCAAACACTGGTTTGTTGTTACAGAAAAAAGTTTCAAAGGTGATTTAGTACCATGCTACAACTTATGTAACAAAGAATTGGTTAAATTTGAAGATTGTAATGAATATCCTGCTAATATGCATTGCTGCGTTCACGACTGCAGATGTGTCATCAGAGGAGGTGGGTACAAACAATAAGACAACAACTGATATCATCTCACTTAAGAATATACCTATATTCAACGGACTTGAAAAGTAGATAGAAAGCATGAAATAACATGGCAAAACTTATTCTTCTGCATTCCATTCCAGCCGGATTTGTTAAAATTCCACAAAACTACACACTTTCTCTCGACGACGAAAAGATATCGCAGTGGATGAAGACCGGAGTAGAAGAAGGATGTGAGTCAAAAAACAAATATTCTTCATCAGCAAAGATGACTGAGTCTGAAAATACCAAGACAAACCTGAAATTACCTATTCACAAGCAAGATAAATATGCAATAATACAAGACGTTCAAACAACAGCAACAGCTACCGGATCAAGCGATAACAAAGAAACCCGGAACTCATCCATTGCTAGCCAAGAGGGAACTTCAAAAACACCAGAAGAAAAAGGCCCAGATAAAACAACTACCGCAAATACTGTACAAAGCAAAACGAGCACAAAAACAGAGGCAGTGAAGACGTCCGCGGCCAAATGTGCTACAAAAGAACATATCTTATCGCGAATTGCAAGTAAAATGACTGGAATATTCAAGCAGATGGGTGTTGGTTGGGAAATGAAAGTCAACGATGGATGCAATTGAAGGCACTTGCTACATTGTCTGTGAAATCTGAATATTCAAATTAATTCTATGTTTATGTCGTTCAATGTTAATTTCCTATCTTAAATAAAACTCACTAGTAGAACTCACTAATTGTCGAACCCCAAAGGATAGAGAGAAAAAAACTATCAAATAACAAGATAAGCGATGCCCAAATATGTGGACACGAAATAGTACGGGTATGTTGTCTGTAACTGTAGCCCCCGGGTACCATACCGCAGTATTTACGACTTCGTAGGACCTCAAGATAGATCGCTAATGCGAAGCCGGAACACACAACGGGCGGGATTTTTTATTTGATGACGTCACCTCACACAAATTTTTGAAATACATAAAATGAAAAGCCCTCCAGCGAAAAATGCAATGTTTAACTATTGAAAATTAAAAGCGATTGATCCAGTAGTTAACGAGGAAATCAATATTTCTCTACGGTCGCAACAAGCAGAGGAAGAATTCTAACAACATGATCAACAACAACATAATAACAAAACGATCCATTGTCCATTTCGTGTCCAATTATCAAATGAAGAGTTTTATTTTTTACCCTAATGAAAAGAGCTCGTATTGAAACAAAGGCCTGTTTTAGATAATTATTTTGTTGTTTATTTTGTATTCTTTATCAAAATACCACTCATATCGCCGTGAAACTACGGAAAATGATGCGTTTTGGCAACTGCACACGCTGCCGGAGTAATAGTTTCAAAAATATGCTTCGACTTCCACTGGCATCTCGTCGCTTTGTCGCCAAGTTAGTACCTACACCAAAGTTATAAAAAGAAAAGTTTAACAGTTCATTCGAGATATTAGGGAGACGATTAATGTGAACATGGCAAAAACTCACGAAACATATCTCACCGATCTCCCAACACGGCTGCATCAACGATATATACGACTGTTGAGGTCATTAGAGTCAGTTACCATCCAAACACAAATACATACATACGTGTCTGCAAGGCAATTGGGAATTTGCATAGCAAGTCAGGGCCACGTATATATTTATATATCGTTATAAGGGTTAAATTAATCTCACAAATTTGCATATTATACTAACCATATGACAGAAAAAGGGCAAGATAGAAATTACCTTTCGACAATCTATCATATATATCCAAATTGTATTACCTTGGTTTTGTTTAGAAGTAATTTAGATATAATATATTTCGTGAATTGAAGTTTGAATTTTTTATATAAATATGTTTTGAAATTGCCGAGAATATCATTCCAATCTGAGTCGCATAATTTTTTTAGACTTTCGAATAAATTTAAGATTTGTTCGTGAAATGAAGAATACCTCACTAGAGCGTGTATTATACGAATGGACACAGATTTCCACAATCAGTAAGGTGTATCGAAAGCCTCGCGCAACATGTTATGAATAAATTCAAACATCAATTTCGCAACTTTATAAATATACACATCGTTTAATTTTAAAAGATGCATATGTTTATAAATGGGACTAATACTATGACGCAAATGAGTATTAGTCAATAACTCTAAGAGCTCTATTTTGTTAAATCGGCATGAGTCTGCTTTCACAAGCACGACAGACCCAAGCCACAATTCCCTATTGCAGGTGGAAACAATATAGCAAAAAATAAAATTTCGCATTACTTTTCAGGAAGATTTTTTTTATCCTTGTCAGGATTCACACCGTCCATGACAATTTCAGATTTAATGGGTTGACGTGGTCGTTCGAATTATGCTTGTTATTAATAAATACAGTTCGAACCAGTCAAAGTAAACTTGGAGTTGGATTGGGACTTCTATTTTCTTAATATTATTATAGGAATGATTTATTAATTGCACTTGCGTATTGTCTCGTAGAACTCATGGCACTTCTGTCAAAAATTGAAGATTGTTCCAGTCAGATAATCGAAAAATCATAGTAAAGCCAAAAATGGTGCAATCAGTAGTCTTCGTCTTGAGGTACTCAATGTTCTGAATATGCGTGCTGAGATTACCGCGTCAGATATCTGCCAATTTCACGACTTCTTTGCGAGAAAACCCAAGTATAATCAGACGAGAGAGATTACGACGTGAGTGAACGCTCGTCTCTGATTAATAAATTGGAAACCCGGAATACAAAAATTGTCGCATGGCGTCGAAGAGTCGGAAACCGAATCCTGTTATCGGATTCTTTTGTTTCCGGATTCTCGGGATTCGGTATTCTGAATTGCCCATGACGCAGTATATAGTATACCAATGGAACTCCAACTTGTATACATTGTGTCATTTGTACTGCATGCTATAATTTCTCACAAGTGCGTGCCCCCTTGCCACTTTGTACCTCGTCTAGCATTTCTCCCGTTTGCTGGGCGAAACGTTATAATCCGAGACACGAGACGTATAGCCTATTTCATAACCCTGATCTCATAAATCATTGTAAATCTGAAATGTATTTTTGGTCATCGTTTTGGGTGGATTCATCACAAAAATATGAAGTCATGTTCTGAATGTAATTAGTCTGCTTCACAAATTTGAAAAAAAATATATGAAGAGAAAGCGATTTTTTTTCCTAATAACAATCTGAAAAAAAAGAGTTCCAACAGTAACATAATTACAAAACGTTTCATAGATCCATTCCGTGTCCAATAAACTGTCACAACAAATACCTTTCATGATCATTGCAATTGCAAATAAAATACAACCCACAGAAATGTTATATATTTAAATATACATACCGTATTTTTTCACGCCTGTCAGCCCCAACAAACTCTACAAAGTAGGGACTGATCTAGAAAGTGCCATTGTTTGGAAAGACCGGATCCTATCTATAATCCTACAAACCACAATGCTTCCCACTGATCTGATCTTCTTGTCAGCATTTATTTAGAAGTAAAGCTTTTTATAATTCTAATTAAAGTATGGTTTACATTACATTATACAAAATAAATCCAAGAGCTTTAGTGAAGCAACGTATTTCGTGTCGCCTTTATTGTCATTATTTTCCGTATATATCAGCAATAAAAAAAACTTACCGATTAGCTCCAAATTGTAACGTAATTTGCATTTTAGCGCAAAACCTGCACACTTAAAACCGACAAGTATGCGGTGTCACTGTCATTTTAAATTGCAATTTCAAAAATAATTTCTTGCTCAAAAAAAAGTCACAGGAACTAAGTAAAATAGTGGTTCTCAGACAGTGTTAACGAGGTTGATGGTTTAATTAATATTATAAATAACATAAAACATCAACAATTATTATTCAAAGCGTACATAATTAAGAGCAGTAAGTTCTAAATTAATTAACGAGCAAAATGAGAAAATTCCCTAAAATACGTCTGCTTTTTGCGCCAACCCTAAACAAATAAGACCAGGTGTGAAATACGAAATAGGGTTTAACCAGGTAATATATAGGCAATCTTTCAACCGAATCGCATATTTAATAATACTTGTTCTTCAATTGACACGTTGGTACATAAATGCTGCTATTGTAGAAGAAATGGCTACATTTTCAAAATAGTTTTAATGTATATAATGAGTAACAGATAGCATATTGGGCGCAATGTCGCCTAAATAACTATTCCACTTCGGTTTATTTCGTCAACAGATGAAAATCCTCCCTGACCAGGTGAACAATTGTCAAAGTTATTGGATTAGTAGGGGTTCATGTTATATTTCGCATGAAAACGAATAACAAGTACAAAGATATAAACCAGTGGTTCCCAACCGCCGGTCCGCGAAGGTTTTTTGCCGGTCCGCTAGAATTTCATTTGGTTGTTTTTCTACCGTCTGAATCGCTTTACCGAAGCCGAAAAGACGAAGTTACGTTGGTTTATTACGCAATTTCTCTCCCTCCGTCATATTGCTGTCCGGCGACGTCTTGGCCCCGAGTAATTACACTTTTCGATTTTTCGGTTCCGATTCATGGCGAAAGCGCTCCGTCAAATCTCGCAAGATTTAGAAACCTGCAAATCAGCATGCATGTTATTCTCGTTCTGCATGCTTTTCTTGATTAATAAGTCGAAGTTACGTTGGTTTATTACGCAATTTCTCTTCCGCCGCCATATCGGTGTTTGATAAGTGCGATATTAATGGCCTGGCGACGTCTGGCCTCGAGTAATCACATTTTTCGCTTCCGAATCATCGCAAAAGCGCTCCGTCAAATCTCGCAAGATTCAGAAACCTGAAAATCAACATGCGTTTTTCCGTTCTGCATGCTTTTTTGATCAATATTACCATCCAAATAAAAGGTTATGAATATTTCTTTGTTCAAACCAGAAAATTTTCAACAACAGTATAATATTCCAGAGCTTCAGCAGCGAGATATGAACTTGTTGTGATCCTTCAGGTGGTCGCGAAACGCGCAACAAAAGCGGGGACCGCTGAGATATTTTCCAAGTGATGCACTGCAGGATTTTGAGCCCGGTGCCAAGTTAGCAACGACTTTATCATTGTAATGTAAATTCATTTCGTTTGGGGCGTCGATCAACTGCATGATGAATTCATCGGATTGATATGATGAACCCGATGAAACCTCTACTTTACAGTCCAGGTTTATAAAAGAATCATTGTCACAATTCATTCTTGAGCTCTCTAGATAACGAATACCCATCGCTTAGTAATCGAGCAATCAAACTGTTGTCTGAATTTTTCAACCAGTTACTTCTAGCTTTAATTACAACGAAGCAAATAAATTGACTGTGAGTCGCTGCAGAGCTACGTGTTGCAAAACTATTTTTGATGCCTCGTTTGCAATCCTATATTAGAAAGGAAACAGCAGCAAAATTCGTACTTGAGTTAATTGTGTTTCTACATGATTTGGCATGTACATGTTTTTATGTGATATATATCTTCATGCATAATGGGTGACCAGCACTGCATTTTTTACGCAAATATAAGTTATTATTTTCTGTTCCACTCATTTCAATTTTTGCCGGTCCGCGAGTACATTTTATTTGATTTTACCGGTCCGCCAGGATAGAAAGGTTGGGAACCACTGATATAAACAACTGACGCAAATTCCATTGGATTCCGACATTGAAAAATCTATATTTGAGACTATAAAAAGTCACTTGTTCATAAGCTCAGATGTCGCAATTAATTCTATGAAGCGAAAATTTACCAACAACAATTTCGGTTTTAAAACCATTTGAGTAAAAATATGGTTCTCAGCGTTTGAGAAACACCGCGACCGCATTATCACACTGACGTCATACCCGTTCAATTGTGTGGTTACTGGGTATTTCTATGACATGCTTATGCTTCCGAAAATAAGAAAATTGCTTGTTTCATTACAACTTCGAACGTGTCAACTCATTCACGTCCACCGTCACAAATATGGGTTTCCGTCAGGGACAAGCATTTTTGTATCTCATATTATTCAACTATCTCCATTTAGGTCTCAACGATATTAGATGGTAGAATACCCATTGGATATACTACAATATATATTCTACGTATGGTCGAAGACGTCGCTGAGACAAATTACTCGCAGTCAAGAAACGTTTGCTTTTCGCATTCAGTCCCCAATATTATCCAACACTTTGAAAATAATTTGAAAAATTGTATTAATTCCCTTGCGTAAAATATCCTGAACCAGATATTCTTCGCGAGAAGATCTTGCAGTAGGCACTACTAATACAACATTACTTTAAATGTCTGAATCTTTAAAGATGCGGTCTCAGACGTCTTCGACTAGTATATGACTTATACGTTGAATGTCATAGTCAGCGTTGTGACGTTATTGAATGGCTTTTTTAGTTTGAATAATGAACGATTCCTATAATTTGTGGTGTTCCAAGCTTCATATCATGCGCTATAAATAGTGACCTTTTTGAGAATAATTAATTCAGCAAACCTTAATCCATTTGACGAAACTGACCTCAAAGTGACGCTAAATATAACAATTGGTCTCCCACTGCAATCAACGAATGATTAAATGCTTAATAAAGATATTATGAAATCTTATTTTTTCGAAATAATCGAGTGAGCAGGATATATTATAAATAGCGCTGCAAAAACTTTGGCATCAACAAACTCGTAGAAAACAACGTACAAAGCAACGAAAACAGAGACAAGATAGGATTGTTAATTGGGTATGTTTTAATATGTAGCCATGCAGGCCTATGTTCAATATTGCACCTATCCGTTTTCACGCATCCGTTATTGCTATTATGGTCGTATACTCACTGGATCTATAAGTGCATTCCTTTGCTTTATGACAGCAGTCCTCAGACTCATGTGCCGACAGCTTTTTAATCCGAAAGGGGAGCTATCCTGGTATATGACTGCTCAATTACCACTTGTCACCAATTACCACATAGGCTACTATTTAACTATTTGCAATATACATCAAGTTTTAAACGACTGATCTTTAAACAAGTGCTAATTACAGCCCAATAGATTAAAGATGAACGTGGCAACAATCTATCTACTTCTGGCGACAAGGATGTTTGGAATTGAAGCAGCTCAATTTACTCAACTTAAATGTTTTCAATTTCGCTACAAATTGGGACAGCAGCGATGCAAACCAAGTAAGATTTTTTGATTCCAACAGGAAGTCCTATTTATGATGAATAAGTTGTTTGTTTCCATTTTCCAAAAAGTACATTTACCACGGCCTAGGTACTTGTAGAACTAGGATAATACGTAAATACCGATCATACGTCCAGGGACAGCTTGACAAAATCGGGACCGTCCCGCTCGGTGGAATTAAATGTCCAGGGATATGGCAGTTATAAATATATCTGATATTAATATATACAAATATTTTTTTAACGTGGGCAGGTCATTTATTTATCACCATATTGTTATGTCATAATTATGATATTTTCAATATTTACGTCAATTTAACACATAACGTGGTCTTTAATGCCGTTTAAAGGAAGTTCATCCAATGTGTTGAATATTACTAATATTCATACTAACTAAAATATTTTCCAAGTCTCGGAATCGAACCAAGATTTGCCCAATGTTCCGGTTTATTGTTTCGTATATTTGGTAAGCCTAATCAAACGTAAAACACATGTGAATTTGTGTTTCATAAAAACCATTCCAAACACTGGTTTGTTGTTACAGAAAAAGGTTTCAAAGGTGATTTAGTACCATGCTACAACTTATGTAACAAAAAATTGGTTAAATTTGAAGATTGCAATAAATATCCTGCTAATATGCATTGTTGCGTTCACGACTGCAGATGCGTCATGAAAGGAGGTGGGTATAAACAATAGGACAACAACTGATATCATCTCGCTCAAATATATATATATATATATAACGGACTTGAAAAGTAGAAAGCATGCAATAACATGGCAAAACTTATTCTTCTGCATTCCATTCCAGCCGGATTTGTTGAAATTCCCCAAAACTACACACTTTCTCTCGACGACGAAAAAATATCGCAGTGGATGAAGACCGGAGTAGAAGACGGATGTGAGCCAAAAAACAAATATCCTTTATCAGCAAAGATGACTGAGTCTGAAAATACCAAGACAAACCTGGAATTACCTATTCACAAGCAAGATATAGATGCAATAATACAAGACGTTCAAACAACAGCAACAGCCACCGGATCAAGCGATAACAAAGAAACCCGGAACTCATCCATTGCTAGCCAAGAGGGAACTTCAAAAACACCAGAAGAAAAAGGCCCAGATAAAACAACTACCGCAAATACTGTACAAAGCAGAACGGGCACAAAAACAGAGACAGTGAAGACGCCCGCGGCCAAATGTGCTACAAAAAAACATTTCTTATCGCGAATTGCAAGAAAAATGACTGGAATATTCAAGCAGATGGGTGTTGGTTGGGAAATGAAAGTCGACGATGGGTGCAATTAATGGCACTTGCTACATCGTCTGTCAAATCTAAATTTTCAAATTAATTCTATGTTTGTGTCTTTCTATGTAAATTTCTTATCTTAAAAGTATCGTGTGACTAGCCGTAAGTATGATTTGAGCTTTTAAATACATATTGATGACAAGAACAGAATCAAGTTGAGGACATAGACGTTGTTGTAAACATCACAAATTGTGCACATAGCAATACACGTTGTTAAGCAGTCGATTAGTTATGCTGCATTTATAATTTGCACATTTGTTGAAAGTGGATTTTCTTGTTTTAAGCGTGAAACAAATCCAACGATAGCGTTTATAGAATTAATACCCGCTATCGGCACTGGTACTAACTTGTCCGAAGCAAAAGTCCGGTTTGGTTCGAAATTTGGCCAAATCGAGTCACTCCAAATTTTAATCAATTCCTCGATTTAGTTTATGTGTATTCCGAAGCCGGAACCGCCACAATAGGCGCAATTTTTTAATTTGATGATGTTACCTCACACAAAAAAAAACGAATCTCGTAGATAGAGGCCACCGAAATTTTTGAAATAAATAAAAGCAATAGCTTTTTAGCGAAAAATACAATGTTTAACCATAATTTTAAAGCGATTGGTCCAGTAGTTAACGAAAGAAATTTTTTCCATACGGTCGCAGCAAGAAGAAGAATACTAACAACGTGATCAACAACAACATAATAACAAAACGATCCACATGTCAACTTCGTGTCGAAGTATCGCATATAAAGTTTTATTTTTTTTACATAAAAGAAAACAGCTCGTATTAAAACAAACCTATTTAAAATGATTATTTTGTTGCTTCTTTTGTATTCTTTATTAAAATACCCCTCATATAGCCCTGAATCTACGGTAAATGGTGCGCTTCGGCAACTGCACACGCTGCCAGAATGACGCATGCTTCCGAAAACAAGTAACAGGCTAACTAATCCCATACCCGACCTAGACTGGTAACCGGACGAGAGGCCGTGGTTCGCCATATAATTAAGCCTTGGTATCGACTTTCCTCACCCATATGTAAATCCTATCCTATTTTAAAAATGTAAACAAAAGTTGTTTCGTCGCTTTGTCGCCAAGTTAGTACATAACCAAAGTTATGAAAAGAGATTTTAACAGTTCATTCGTGATATCAGGGAGACGATCAGTGTGAACATGACAAGAGAAATCACAAAACATATTTCACCGACCACCGAGATAAAACAACTACCGCAAATACTGTACAAAGCAGAACAACCACAAAAACAAAAAATCGCGAGTAAATGAAGGGCCATAATATATATAATCAGTAATTTATTTTTTCACCAACCATGCTGAAAGTGCACACTTACAAATTAGAATAATTTATATATGATGTGATGAAATTGAATTAGCGCCACCTTAATGTGGCCAACGTGGCACCATCGTTAATAGTCTCGTGGCTATGCGAATGTTTTATTTGGTTAGCGTGCGTCAGGATTGCTACATCTTGTAACTTGTTCTTTTTCTTGTTTTAGTATAGTAGTAATCTTTAAGTTAATAAAAGCCTAGAAAACAGTCTAAATGAGTTTTCCTTGAATGGTTTCACTACAATTTTATTAACTTAAAAATTAGCTTCGATTTCACCACTGCAAAGCGTGATGGCTCAACAATTGGAAAAGTTTATCCGTGTACCAGTCTTGGACACTCCGCCGAATTCGCCATATGCTCAAAAGGTTTTCAGTCATTGGGAACGCATGATCAAGAGCTTTTTGAATTCTGCAGAAACTGCTAGAGCTTCGTCTCCGACGACAACAACATTGCCTGTGATTGACAAATTGGCAATTATTGTGGGCTACATGTCTCCTGATGTGTTTGTTTATATTGAAGAAATAACAACATATGACACTGCTATGGCCAAATTAGAGAAGTTGTACAAGAAGAAGAAAAATGACGTTTTTGCCAGGCATAAATTGGCGACGAATAAGCAAAGAAGTGGCGAATGCGTAACAGAATTTTTCCAACAATTGTCTTCGTTAGCTAAAGACTGCAACTTCGAAGCCGTATCTGCTGATAAGTATAGAGAAGAAGCTATAAGATATGCTTTCATAACTGGATTGAAATCCGCCGAAATTCGTCAACGGTTGTTGGAGCACGAAGTATTAACACTTGACAACGCTCTTCAGATTGCAGATTCATTAGAGAGAGCCGAAAAGTTTGCTAACTCCTATCAAGAATGTGCGAATGACCAATTAATGACCACATTGTCAGAAAAAGAAGCATCTGAAACTGTATCAGACACAGAGGAAAGACGTGATGACAATTTCAAATCTATAGCAGTGACATCGAGAACTTGAAACTTTGATTTTGCTGTCAAAAGGTGTGGTTATTGTAGAGGTGTGCATCGCTTAAAACGTCAAAATTGCCCAGCCAAAAAATGTGTAAAATGTGTAAGTGTGGTCGACGTGGACACTTTGAAGAGTATGTAGATCTTCTAATGAAAATCGTGACAAAGTTGAAAACCCACATTTAGCTGCCGTTGTACCTAGCAGTCTAAAACTAGCTTGTTTCTGCAATAATCTCTGGCAGGCAAGTTGATGCTCTTCTCGACTCGGGCTCTTCTGATAATTATATGGCTAGCAATTTCGCGTCTTCTCTTGGGCTTACTCTAAAAGGACCGATGTCTAAAATTTCACTAGCATCAAAGAAGTCCGAAGCTCGTATATTGGGATCTGTGACAGCCGATATTAAGGCTAATTCCCGAACATACAAAGATGTCAACTTTGGCGTAATAAATAACTTGTGTGTGGATTTTATATTGGGGCATAACTTCATGAGCAAGCACAGAAGAGTTATATTTCGGTTTGATGGCGCTTATGAGGATCTAAATGTCGAGAAAACCTGTAACCTAACTGCTGCAAAGGTTAGTGAACCTATTCAGATTTTTCAGTTTATTGAACCCAACTGCAAACCGATAGCAGCTCCGTCTAGAAATTATTGTTCAGACGATCGTCGATTTATTAAAAGCGAGATATCTCGTCTTCTTGGGGAAGGTATAATAGAGCCTTCAAGATCCCCATGGAGAGCACAAGTTATTGTGACCAAAGATGCCCGGCATAAGAAACGTCTCGTAATTGATTATTCTCAAACGGTAAATCGATACACCTATTTAGACGCCTACCCATTGCCCAAAATTGACAAGATAGTAAATGAGGTAGCTAAAGGATGTGTATTTTCTACTATAGATTTGAAATCGGCCTACCACCAAGTGCCATTGGCAATAAGTGATACCCCTTTAACTGCATTTGAAGCTTCTGGCTCCCTTTATCAATTTTGCAGGCTTCCATTTGGTGTTACTAATGGTGTAGCTGCATTTCAGCGGTATATTGACTCTATCATTGCCAAATACGACTTGAGGGGAACTTTGGCTTACTTGGATAATGTCACTATTTATGGTACGAACAAGGAAGAACACGATGAACGACTGAAAGCATTTCTCTCTGCTGCCAAAGATTGTGAGTTAACTTTAAACCAAGATAAATCCTTTTATTCTGCTACTGAACTATCACTGTTGGGTGATCTAGTATCACATAACACTATTAAACCGGATCCTCAGCATTTCAAACCGTTGCTCGACATGAAGCCTCCTCGTGATTCTAAGAGTTTAAAGCGTTGCCTTGGAATGTTTGCTTACTATTCCAAATGGATTCCTAAATATTCTGATAAAATAATTCCCTTGACTAGAAATTCGGGGTTTCCACTTTCAAATGTAACAAATTAACCAATAATTTGGATAAGGGAAGTTAAATTCTATATATTAATTGACGTAATCGAAATATTGAGAAGATCTTTCTAGTCTTTCTCGTGTATGAGAAAATGGATATTTTCCCATGTCGGGTGACCCATAAACAACCGAAATATTGAAGAGATCTTTCTAGATCGTTCGAAATATTGAGTCTAGATCTTTCTCGTGTATGAGAAAATGGATATTTCCCATGTCAGGTAACCTATAAACAAGTGTAATTATTGTAAGAAGGGTACCGAACATTCTAGATATGAGCAAAAATTGCTCCGTGGGAAACGAGATTTTTGGATAATAAAGAAAGGTACCGTTTTTGGCGAGCGAGATGAAAAAGATGTTACCGTTTAAATAGACATTTTGATCGTGGTTTGCCCGGCTTTTCTATTTCAATTCGTTCGATACAGCAACCGGCTTTTCTATTCGTTCGATACAGCAACCGGCTTTTCTATTTCAATTCGTTCGATGCAACAATGCTAATTCATCACCGACTTGGTTTTCACGATTCCGAGTGTGTTTTATTACGTCTCGACTTAACCAGTAACAAGCGATCGTCATCCTTATCGTCAAATATCAATAATTCTGATGATCGCTACGCTACTGTTATGAATAATAACTTGAAATTATTCATCACCAGAAGTCGTCTCACTGATGACGCCGAATATCGAGATTATTATGGATTATACTTAACAACCGTAAGTAAGTCTTTATATCTTATTACTTAGTATTGTTTTGTACGTTTTTTAATTTTGTCTTACTGCATACTTATTGTAATTATGTACCTGTTATTGTTTTGGTGGTTTAATTTTGTTATGGTAATTTTGTAACTGGTATTGCTTAGTGGGGTTTGGTCTATATTGGATAGATATTACGTAAGTTAAATTAGGGGTGAATCATTATAAATTACCACATATTACCCCACAAATGTCAAAAGGTCGATTTGTTGACGAAAACGACCCACAATTCGGACTTCAAGATTTGGATATTTCGTTATTACTAAAATGCCCTTGAAAGTAAATTCAGTGATTGAATGAGCTCCACGCTCGACTCAACAAAAATTAGACGAAATACGTTATATTCTCCGAAAAAGCCCGAAGCCTGGCATAACAAAACAAAAAAAAAATGCGCTACCTGTCAACCCGACATGGGGCAAATATAGACCAACTAGGTTTGCAAAATTGCATCAATGCGCTATTCAGCTCGACATGGGGCAAATATAGACCAACTAGGTCCGCAAAATTGCAACAATGCGCTTTTCAAACCCGACATGGGTAAATACAGACCAACTAGTCAAAAATTGTAACAATGCGCCCAGAGCACCTATGAGGATGACCAATGGGGTCTAAAGGATCTTTTTCAGATGAAAAAGTCAAGCTGGTAACCGCGCAAACATTGACACGTAACAGAGAAAGAAGCTCAGTCGAGCAGCCAACTAGGCTTATGATTTGATCTAAACACCAAGAAAATATTGAAGTGCCCAATTTCCACCAAATGGAAAGGCAATTTTTCGTCAATTCAACGTCTATTTTCGCCAGTTTTTCGATTTATTTTTTCGTTGGTTACTGTGTCATACGTAATCAAGAAAATAGTGCAGTACTAAATTTCCCACATTTTTATGTCTCATTCTCTGCCTTTTTTTGTTCGACCGACTTTCAGTGTCTTATATATTTTTGCCGTATTTTTTCTCGTATTTTCAGTGGTCCTTATTTATATTCGCCCTATTTTTTAATGTTTCATTCTTGCCCCATTTTTTGCAGTGCCCACCTTCCCCTACGCCACCGTATTTCTCCATTTTTTGCCTATTTGTTGTTCAAAAATACAGTCCGGTTAGTATAAACAAATTTTCTCACAATTCCTCTAATTGCTATCACACAAAAAAAATTAAGATTGAAGATGTTAATTAATTTTTTATAAATTTCGGTAATGCCTAAATGAATATAATCTTAAAATTTACAAACAAATTTAAAGTCGTGTAGGTGAGAAGAAGGTATAATAATACCATTACTGTTTCACTGAATTGCACAATTCAAATGCCTTTCACAATACAAATGTCTCATCCTTATAATTTGAAAAGACCCCAAGTCAGAATCATAATAAATGGGGCTACAATGAGTTCTTAAGTTGTATGTTTTTAATTCTTGCATGTATAATTAGTGCTCAAATTTCATGTTTTTCTTCTTGTATATAAATCTTTCAATTGCCATTTTAAATAACCAAAATTAAGGAATTTGTCTTGTCGTTTCTGAGTCTTATGTCTTATTGATTAATTACACTCGACCATTTTTTCTTGCTCTTCGTAGTGGATGTTTTGCTCTTCATCCGACAGTCTTCAAACAAATTACTTTGACATTTCAAATTGCCATCTTCAAAAGTTACGAGATTTGATTACTGTCATGATAATTTCGATTTCATTCTTATATTTCTACAATTATCGGTTAATTTTTAATATGTGCTTTTAAAATATTTCACTTGTGGTGCCAGGAATGTGTAACAAATTAACCAATAATTTGGATAAGGGAAGTTAAATTCTATATATTAATTGACGTAATCGAAATATTGAGAAGATCTTTCTAGTCTTTCTCGTGTATGAGAAAATGGATATTTTCCCATGTCGGGTGACCCATAAACAACCGAAATATTGAAGAGATCTTTCTAGATCGTTCGAAATATTGAGTCTAGATCTTTCTCGTGTATGAGAAAATGGATATTTCCCATGTCAGGTAACCTATAAACAAGTGTAATTATTGTAAGAAGGGTACCGAACATTCTAGATATGAGCAAAAATTGCTCCGTGGGAAACGAGATTTTTGGATAATAAAGAAAGGTACCGTTTTTGGCGAGCGAGATGAAAAAGATGTTACCGTTTAAATAGACATTTTGATCGTGGTTTGCCCGGCTTTTCTATTTCAATTCGTTCGATACAGCAACCGGCTTTTCTATTCGTTCGATACAGCAACCGGCTTTTCTATTTCAATTCGTTCGATGCAACAATGCTAATTCATCACCGACTTGGTTTTCACGATTGCGAGTGTGTTTTATTGTAAGTCAATTTATTGTGATATATTATCTGTGGAAATAAAACTCTTTACAGGCAAATGAGTCAGATCCTTACTGTTATATAAAATTAACAGATATCTCAAATTGAACACGTAACCTACTATATATTCTGTTTTGGAGTCAGATACTTATCTAATTCGCTCAATCAGAGACCAATTTAGACAGCAGAAGTTACACAAACAATGCTATGAGATGTTTTGAAATTTTGAAAAGCGATCTACTAAATGCCTGCCTCGGGAGTGTAGACGAAAGCAAGACTTTCACCATTGAATGTGATGCGTCTAATAACGCAATAGCTGCTATTTTAAATCAGTGTGGTCGTCCGGTAGCTTTTACTTACCGTACACTATCTAAAAGTGAAATAAAGTACCCCTCAATTGAAAAAGAAGCTGCTTCTATTAAAGAAGCAGTCAGAAAATGGAGTTATTTGTTACACGGAAAAAAGTTTTGCTTAATTACAGATCAACGGGCACTGTCTTTCATTTTCCAAAAAAACCATAA